AAGTACAAATGTACAGGTTTTTGAAGGGGGGGCAGTACAGGCTTTTCTAGCACCTCTTAGACAGGGTGGGGCAAAAGTAGGTTCACAGTTGTGAGTACATGAAACAGTTTATTCTTACATTGTTATTTATTAATTATTTCTTATTTTCCATATGAACAGCTGTGAATCTACTTTTGCCCACCCCTGTATTTATACTAAAAAGTATCTGTTGTTTTTATCTAAAATTCAAATTGAATTGGGCGTGCTGTATTTTGCTTGGCAATCCTAAAGTGGTGGATAGCATGTATGTTGAATCATTAAATATGTATCTACATAAGAAATTTTTATTTTCCTCTTTTGAAACTCTGATTCCACAAATTGAAAGCATTATGATACAAGGCACTGAACTGAATTCAAATTCAACTATGGCACCAACTAGCTGGATAACACTGTATAAGTTATTTCTGTGAACTTCTGCTTGTCCACTCAATATAATGATATTATTTGCCCTACATTCCTTGCAGAGTTGGTAGGCTCAAGCAATCTAGTATTTCTGAAAATGCCTTATGAGGTGTAAGTATTAGTGAAATAAGAATTTAAGATCAAGCAATGTTTTATTGTGAAAGCCACCATTTATACTGCTGATCAAAAAGGTGGTAATACCACAGTTCCATGAAACTATTGGTACAAGGACCATGGCATCTACGACTAAGAGTGAGGAAATTTCACTGGAAAATATCAAGGACTAGCTTGCCTTCTTGAATACAAAGCTTTATTCAAAGTTTACCCTCTGATAAAGGGTAAAATTCATAAGAACACTCATTTCCACTGCTGTTAGGATTGTCTACAGATGATTAATTATTGTGTAAAGTGTGTTTAAGAACTATTTTTTAAAAACTCAACATGCTCAAACACCTTTAACCTGGATATCTATGTGTCTGTCTTGGGTGTCCAGGGCCCAGTCAACTTGTAAAATTTTCTCCTTGCAGGCAACGTTTCCTTCTCCAGGCTGTGTAAGAATTCCCAATTCTATGAAGGCTGAGAGAGTTCATAAAATTAATGAGAGGATGAAATCCTCTATATAATATAAAATGCAAACATATTCAACCTAGAAACAAAATCTCTGTACTTGGTTCAACAAATAATTTCTGGAGAAATGTGCATTAATGTAAATCTAGTTGCAAAATCCTACTTATATATCCTGGACATAGTATATTGAAGTGCAAAAAATAATAGTTGTCTTTTTCACAATTTAAGGGTTTAAAATATCTGGAGTAAAGAAAGTATCAAAGCTTGCTGACATTTTAGCATTCTACTCTGAATCAATACCTATTGTTTATTTTTCTGTAATTAAATTATAAATGGGTTATTATAAAAACACTTAATACCAATAAGTTTTCATAAAAACAAGTCTGAGGAATCATCTAATGGTTCCATCTAAAATAGAGTTTTTAAAAAAAATAACTTCTAGTTTTACATATCAAATAAAAAAAATAGCAGCAATCATACTCCTGTACTAAGAATAATAATATGATTTTAATGTGTATAATTAACTCTTTTGCTTGCAGACACTAAAAGAATATTAAAATAGTGAGGATAGTATAATTAGTAATACAAAGCACTAAACAATAATCTTTTAAAATTAAATTATAAAATTTTATTTTTAATCATTATTGAAATTATTTTTTATTAAAATTAAAAAACAAGTTTCAATGAATCTATTTTATATAATGAATCAAAACAAAATTATATCTAGCTGTTAGATATGCAAATTTCCACTATTTCATAATATAACACATGTATTATTTGATTTTTCATCTCATGTACTCCTATGATTAACACTAAACAAACTGGAAAAACAGTAAGTGACGACAACATACAAATGTGAAGTGATTAGGGAAAATTCTTTTAAATCATTAAATGAAGGGGGAAGGGCTTTTATTCCCCAAAGACTTTTCCATGCCAAGTAATTCATTTCGTTGTATAACACAGATTTATTATAATATGTCCTGTCAATAAACATTTTACAATTCTAAATCACTACTAATGTATGGTTTACATAGATCTAGTCATGGAAACATGACAAAGTTCAGTTTTTTTAAGAGAAAATGAAAAATATATAATTCCAACCGTTTTTATTTGAAAAGATCATGTTTGCTGTGTTCTATGAAGACTCAATAACAAGTGAATTCAACATTTTTCTTAAAAAAAATAAAAGCTGTAGATGAATTACTAGTTTCAGAATATTATATACAAAATAAATTACATAACAACACTATTTGAAAAGAGCCATATTTTAACAGGCTGCTTAAGAAAAAGATAAGAGCCCTAGCCAATTTGGCTCACTGGATAGAGCATCAGCCTGGGGACTGAAAGGTTCCAGGTTCGATTCCAGTCAAGGGCATGTACCTGTGTTGCAGGCACATCCCCAGTAGGGGGTGTGCAGGAGGCAGCTGGTCGATGCTTCTCTCTCATCAATGTTTCTAACTCTCTATCCCTCTCCCTTCCTCTCTGTAAAAAATCAATAAAATATATATTTTTTTAAAAAAAAAGAAAAAGATAAGAAAGCCCTGAAAGCCAATAATTTATGATTGATAGGAATTAAAAACAAAAGTGTGCCTCAGTTTAGCTTTTTCAATGTTAAGCAAAATGAATGTACCAATTCTGTAAACCACCCTCCAACCCTAATTATCCAGGCAAAGGTGACTTTCTATTAATACTTGTTGCCTCCCCCCACACTTAATATATATATTTTTTAAAAAAGAGGCAAAAAGTTTAAGAAAAAACAAGAAGTAGATTTTTTAAATTAAGCTTTAAGACTATACCTTCCTCTTGATGTCTTAAAAATGCAATCAAATATATGAAGAAAATAAAAGGCAAAATTTTGGGGAAAAGATGGCAATTATCATTATTTTCAAATGACATGACTGTCTACCTTTAAGATCCAAAAGAATCAACTGTAAGATTATTAGAAACAATAAAAAATCAGAAAGATGGTCAATTACAAATTTATATAGAAAAATATATGTAAAATGTACAAAAAGTATACTCTCATCTACACTAATAAAAGATAAAGATGTTAATTGACCGTACCTTCGCTATGCCCACCAGCCAGAGTGACTATATGCAAATTAACCCAAGATAGCGGTTAATTTGCATATACCAGCTAGGAGTGAAGCAAGCCAGGCGGCGGAGGCAGGAGGAAAACAAGCCAGGCCGGGTGGCGGAGGCAAGCTGGGCCATGCGGCAGAGACTGGAGGGAAGCAAGCCAGGTGGTGGAGGCAGAAGCTAAGCCCACCTCAGAGGGTTTTGCTCTCTTCTCTGCTTCGTTCCAGCCGTTCCAGCCATAGGAAGCCCTATTCTTGCAGGAATCTTCCTGCAACAGGCCTCTAGTTTACCAATAATAAACAGTTACAAAACACTGAAATACAATAGCAAAAAAATTACTGAATACATAAAAATAATATTTTAAATGAAATATACAGACTGTATAAGAAAATTATAAACCTCAAAAAGAAGGGATTAATAAGCAAAATGAAGTGTTATATCTTATAATATTTTAAGATATCATCAAATTTCTACAAATATAACTATAACTATAAAGGAATCACAACCAATTTCTGATACCTTGTGTGTGTGTGCATGTCCATGTGCATGTGTGTACAGGTCATTGGGGTAGTTGGCATTTTTATTCAAACATTAGTAAGTAGAGACTGAAGCAGAAGGAGCAGAGCTAGGGACTATTCCAACGTGGCATTAAAGATATACTGACTGCGGATTAAAGGTCCTAAAATCAATTCAATCCAAAAGCTAACTCATACAGCATCAAAAACAAAGTCACTGTCACTGACTGTGTAGTAATGTGGAATGTCTCAGCTCCAGGCTGATTTAGAGCTAACCGGGCTCAGTGAGGTTAACATGACTTTCAGTTCAGGGAGTTCAAGATGATAAATCTCAGTTTTACATTTTCTCTTGGGTGTGGAAGTTCTGGAAGAAGATATATAGCTATATATAGATACATAGCTATGGGGAGTGCCAAAGCCCCAGAGTTACACCTACGAGGAAAGGGGAACCAAGATCCTGGTCCCCAACAAGTAAATAGCAGTATCCCCATTAGTAGTTCCATCTTTTAGATTTGTAAAGGACTCAGAGAATCAAGATCAGAATGTCTGGCCGAATACCCACAAACAATTACTGTGAGTAGAGGAATCTACTCTAAGATATCGAGTTGTAGACAAGTATGGTCTCATATCCCTCACAAGCCTAAGTTAGACAAACTCAATTTTCCTACCTCCTTTTCCTTGATTCCACACACTATGCAATTTGATTCAAATAACAACTGAAGTAAAAGGATTACTTAGGAAGACAACCCTTCAGATTTATAAAAATCTGGTGGTGTGCAGTATATCCTGCACAGCACATAAAAATATACTGAGCCCTAACTGGTTTGGCTCAGTGGATAGAGCATCGGCCTGCGGACTGAAAGGTCCCGGGTTTAATTCCAGTCAAGGGCATGTACCTTGGTTGCTGGCACATCCCCAGTAGGGGGTGTGCAGGAGGCAGCTGATGAATGTTTCTCTCTCATTGATGTTTCTAACTCTCTATCCCTCTCCCTTCCTCTCTGTAAAAAAATCAGTAAAATATACTTTTAAAAAAATACTGAGAAGTATTCAGACTTTTCATAAGGGGTGAAATTAACACAAACATTTCTATCTTATTTTTTTAAATTTATACTAAACCCATGGTGTTTTTTACATTAAAATCCTTAAATACTACATTAAGATATAAAAGTTATAATGGCAATGTGAACTAAGATCCCAGGAATATTCTCTCATTAGGATAGTAAAAGGTTTATATATTTTTTCCTACATATAAAATGAAACATGACTGCAATAAGAATTTTAGTTAAATAGTACATCCCTGTTAGTCACTAGAAAAAAGGTTAGAAAACCTAAATCTCAACAGGCTACTTTACTTTGCCAAATACCTAAAAATAAAAGGTTCAACCAGGGACTTGAAGTGCCTGTCTACTCATTACCATAACCAGGTTTTACAAAATACAGACCCCAAAATCCATGATGAGACACAGTGAAAGAATTTATAATTATAAGTTGCTTGCTATAATCTCTTCTCCACAGCACCAAAGGCCTTTAGCAGGGTGAGTGTACTGTACTCCAAGATTAGATTTATATATCCTAGAAAAAGGGGGACATGGTGATGAACAGCGCTACATTGACATAATGGGTCTTAGTGGTTATAAATGTAGCCGTTCCCTACGTTAATGGACCATGACTAGACTGACCTTTTCTCTATAATTGTAACTACAGTACAGTAATTAGACAAACCAGTACTTGCTTCTGATAAAAAGAGTAGCGGAAGAAAGCTCTCAGTCATTAGCTTTGAGAATGCAGAGTAAAATTTGGTTGGCATTCTATTGGGAAAAAGTTAGCAACCAATAAGAAAAATCGCTTTTCATAAGTTATGTTCTATGTTTAGTTTAATGTCCTAACTAAAGACAAAAATCCCAGAGGAAAGCCCTTTCTCATAGGCATAGAGGCAGGGACATGTTTTATCAGCTAGCAATGAAAGCTGGTATATAAAAGGCAGCTGAAGGAAGTAATAGTATAATATTTGTAAATCCAGGATATATAAAGTTTAATGTACAATAATTAAAACCTATCCACAATTGCAAATTAGAGACAATTAATTCCTTCAATTATAGGAATAGCAAACAAGATTTCAGAATACTCAACAGAGTTAAAAAGAATGAATAGAAATGAAAAAAATGAAAACTGGCAAAAGTATCTTATAATGATTCAGAAATCCTTTGACTACATCAGGGGTACATAATGCTAAACCATAAACTCTGTGAAGGCAGGGAACTCATATGTTCTGCTCACTGCCCTGTCCATATGCCAGGCCATGGCAAACGAATAAAAACATACTCAGTAATTTTCTCTCACATATCTTGATTCACACAAGTAACGACTCATATGTTTATGAGACACAAAAGGGACATGTGAATCATGA